CACAGGTCTGCTCCTGGCGTGAGCCAACGAAGCTCCAGGTTGAGGCTAGGAAGGGACGCTCTCTCGACGTACCTGCATTAATTTTTAACAATATCTTTACGATTCTAAGTATCGTTCAACCCATTCTCATCCGGTGTTGCGCACTAGAGGGGTACCGAGGTAAAGTGCTGACGCCGACGCATTGAAGATTCAGTCTCCTTCTTCCTGCGATCCCAAGTAATGCTCAAGCCGTTCCCATCCGGTGTTGTGCAGTAAAGAACTAACGATTTAATATGATTTAAGGGTAAAGTGTTAGTGCATCGGTGATCCAGCAACTGATACTTGCTGCACTTGCTCTTTATCTGAGTGTGACCTGCAGTGCCGTCCCACCGCGGGCACTGTGTGATCCCGTTCGTCGGGCGCTGTGCTCATACACCCGAAAGGTCCCGAAAGGAGGATTGTCACTGATAGCTCGTTCTGCGCTGATCCCCCCCTGAACATCCGTTTTGCTCGAGGGTGCTGATCGAATGCCACAGGGCCCACTTGACATTTTCAGAATGACTTTCATGCATTTTTACACATGTGTTCCAATTTTTCACAACAAAATGGTAACTAGCTTCATTTGTACAGATCTGCATGAGCTTCCTTTCTTCTTTTGTTTTCTTGTCTTTTTCTAGGTTTTGGTTCGTCGTAGCTAAAGGCCTGTTAGGTTGTGACTCAACCTTTTTTCAAGTTAAGGGGGCGCCGATACGGCTTATTTGGCTACGTGCCATGCCTTTCCAGCAAAACTCCCCCGCCTTTCTCTCTATGTTGCTTTTCGTTTGTTAGGCCTGTCTCTCGAGGCTCGTTAGGTGGCTCTTCAGGCTCGCTTAGTCGATTTTTCTTCCCCCCCAACTCCACATGCGCCGCTCTCTCCTGTTTTTCTTTTCGTTTGGTAGGCCTGCCTGTCAGGCTTTTCAGGTTGGTTTTCTGCCTTCTTGGTCAAGGGCGCGCCGATTCGGCTTATGTGTGTGTCAACCGCTGAGGCTGTGGGGGGTTCAAGCAGACTACAGTATTTTCTTTGCGTTTAACCTTGTACAGCTTTCATTGCAGGGGGCTCACGGGTCTGTTCCTGGCGCGAGCCAAAGAAGCTCCAGGTTCAGACAAGGATATCGAGAGGGGACGCTCTCTCGACGTACCTGTATTATATAATTAATACAATCTGTGTGATTCTAAGTATCGCTCAAGCTGTTCTCATCCGGTGTTGCGCATTAGAGGGCTAACGAGGTATAGTGCTGACGCATTGAAGATTCAGTCTCCTTCTTCCTGCGATCGGAAGTATGCTCAAGCCGTTCCCATCCGGTGTTGCGCAGTAAAGAACTAACGATTTAATACGATTTAAGGGTAAAGTGTTAGTGCATCGGCGATCCAGCAACTGATACTTGCTCTTGTGAGCCCTACATCTGAGTGTCTTTGTATGTGGGATCCCTCACTCACATGTCCATGTTTGAAGTACTGTAAGTGCAGGTGCCATGGCCATGCAGGGCCTGGCTATGGGCACCGCACTGCCTCCATCAGGCTTGAACTCCAGCAGCCTTGGAAGCTGAATCTATGCACCCACGAAATCGGCATCTCTTGAAAAGGGGGCAAAGGGAGCCGTATGTTGATACAAAATGATAAACGCATCAAACAGCGCCAGCTTAGCGTTCCCAGCGCCTCCCAACAAAGATAAGCTCCCAGCGAGCGAGGCATACCCTTATATGCATCCAATGTGTCGATGTCAGCTTCTTTTGCCCGGTCTCCATCGATGACCAGGACCTCACACGACCAAATCAGCTGTGCTAGACTTCGCGACTCAAAATCGTAACGTGCGCATAGCACCTGGTCGAGTGAGAGCTTTTGTACTTCCTCTATGCGGAGGTCGTCTTCAACAACCCTCTCGATCTCTTCAAAAAGAGCCCAAGAGGATAGGTCATCCTCAGCCGTTCAAAATGCTGGAAGTTTAGCTCAGCCGGGCAACCAAATCAAGTGGGGTAGTTTGGCGCCCTCAGCAGTCCAATGTCACACAATCAATGCGTCACAGGCACTTTCAATCTCTCTGAGCTGTCCCGAATCACGCGAACTGCCTTTACCCAATCCTTTCTCAGAAAGTCAAAGCCACCAGTTGCCTGGATTGTGATCGTGAGTCCGAATGCTAGATTGGCCAAATACGATAAACATTGATTCTTAAAAAATGCATTCCAGTCACCGCATGTCCAATTAGTGCGAACCATGGACCATCGCTTGGAGGATTATAGGGGCACTTTGTCCTATTTGTTCCTGACATTCCGGCAAATCAAATACTGCTGAGTATAGTTATAAAACTATATAAATATACTGTATACCGTATAAAAATCCTCGAGTCGTCTGGCCTCCAAGGGCACAAAGGAGGCTCGCTTTAGCAAAGTGGGCGAGTCTCCTTGGCGCGCTTGTACGCAGCCCTACGTGCACTTAAGCAGCAATGATTGAGCTAGTGGTGTCACAAGCCTCTCAGGCCAAATGTGTTGAATGTTGAATCCACTGAACTCGTGGAGTGAACTGCAGACTGCGACACCGTGGTGTTTTGTAACCTGGTGCGCTCCATAAAGCCCCTACGATCACCTCACGCAGCTAGTGGAGTGATGTGGAATTGCGAGCACACCCTGCACAACAGCCCATTGGCGCACAGTGCACACCTCACTCAGACTTGCCATCCTGCACTCACAGGGCAAGTTTCTCACGCATTCCCGCAAAAACAAGACATCTTGCACACCAGCTTGCTTTAAACACATCCGTTTCCACATTCTAGTCAGGCACTCCTATTCATACACCGGTAAGATGTCAAACCATCAATTTCATCAAGTTTCTTGCATAGACTTCCCCTAGGTCATTTCGACATCTATCTATATATATATATATATATATTTTTTATGCATTCAGTCAAGCCATATAGAGTAAATAAATTATGGATTATATACAGTCTTTGCAGTGTCTTTCATGAAGGGGTTGAAGAGGCAGAAGGCAACCTCAAAAAGCTGAAGTTCACATCCAAGCATCTCATTCCGAGGCGGCGCATGAGATCAACAATGCTGCGACGTGCTGCTGGGTTTACACCTTTCGGTGGGTCTGCAACAAAGCGCAGGGCATCAGAAGGCCAACCTGCCAAAAGGCTGGCCGTCTTGAGTGGAGCCGGACGTAACAACATGTAACAACCAAACACATCAAGAAACCACAAGAATCGAACTTCACCTTTGCCCCCGCATGAGGCTCAGTCAGGAGGGCCTTTCATCATGGCTTTCTGTGATTCTTGTGGTCCCAACAGGATGAACTGATACCTCTTCAGTGGTTGCCAAGTCCTGACAAAAGGGATGCCAGGCGCCATATGCCCTAGAAGTCGCATCAAAACGCTAGGAAACAGGCGCAGACTTTTGACTCATGGTTATATAATGAAAACTTGGCTCCAAACCCATCTGCAGCTTGAATAAAGCGCACATCAGAGAGTCCGTCACGGATCATCTCCTCAGGCTAAGCCCATTAAGACTCATGCGTGTCTGAATACTCCCAACAAGTTTGTAGGAGTTTTCCTATCCACAAACTTGTACGTTTAAACCGCCCTTGCCATCCATATGAAATCAAACCCGAAGGCTGCAGCGCCAAGGATCCAAAGACTCCGATGTTTCCGTAAATTCCTAGACAGGTGGCGGGTTGCAACCTCCGTGCCATGCTTGTGGTTCATTCAAAACCAGAAGAACTCACAGCCACAGTTGGTCTTTGAACTGCTGTCCTGAGGAACTTCATTGGCATTTTCCTCCCGTCGATGTTGCTCCTCTGCAATCTCGTTCTTCACACAAAGGGCAATCCGTGACAAAGTCCTGAGCTGGTCTCGGCAGTTTTGCGGCGTCGCGGCGTCGGCTGGTCCCAACCAAACACACCACACCAATCCACACCACATTGGCAAACATCTGCATGTCTTCGCCATTGTTGTGTATATTTATACATCTCTTGGCTACTCTCAGTTTGACCGCTGGAAGCTTAACTTTTTGGGTCTAAAACATCCGAAAAACAATGTTTTCTAAAAAGGGTGAGCATACCAATGCCATCCTGATTCCCAGCCACACACAGATAGAAAATCGCATCTTCCTGATCCTGGAAGTTTAAAGTGCCAAAGTGGAAAAGAACGGCCAACTGCTGATGGACCCCGTCAGATATTTTCCATGTCCGCTTGCGTTTGCTTGGACACAGCCCCGCCACAACATTTTGTTTCAATCTAATTACGCGGCAGCAGAATCCCCAAATATTGACAATGCACGGGCAGGGCGCAGGAGAAGATTGCGTGGGTTGAGTCTGTCTGCGTGGATTTCGATTGCGTCTTTCCTTAGCCACTCCCCGGGCTCTGTAAAGATGCTAGCAACGACAGCAACAAAACACTAGCGAGAGATGACAGCAGAGAACCACCACCCGCAGGACAAGCCTCGGCTGCCGACACATAAAGTCAGGTTGAATTTGTCTGCTCCTGACATGGCTTTGCTTGAGCTTTGCATCAAGACTTTTCAAAGCTGTCAAAGCTCAGATTCACCCGTGGACCTCGGAAGTGATGGTGAAGATGCTTCCTTTAAGTTTTTCCGTCTGCGTCTTCGAAGCGCGAACGGTGCATTACCGAGTTGGCTGCGTACAACTGGGCGCTCTTCCAGTGTCAGAGGCCAGAAATGATTGACATTCTGGTTGGTTGACAGAAGGACATGCGCAAAACATTTTGTTGTAAATCAATCACGCAACCAAGCCCTTCCAACAAAACGCGACTTGCAAGAAACGGGATCGGTAACGGAAGGATGCTCACACCAAAAAGAACTCCCTGGGTCTCCTGGCCACGAAAGCTGGCCGGCATGTAGCAGCGCTCTGCGGCTGTCTGCGCCCCACCTGCGCCAAATTGAAATCTGGCTTGACAATGTTGATGCAAACTGGACAACCCATGGTTCCGTAACAACTTGGTGTGTGTTGCAAACCATCTCTCACCAGCACACGACTGCTGACATGCAGTATCCAGAACCATGTAGCCAGCAAGGTCTATGGTTTCCGTGGTGTAAACTTTGCATGACTGTTCTGCGAGGACATAGCTGGTGGGGAAGTTGAAATACGTGTCTTGACCCTGGTGCTCATCATCGTGTGCATCTTCGTCACCGTATGTAACCACAAATGCTTTCCTGGGTTGACCTGTCGAAGGTGCACTTGATGAGGAGGCTGGAGTACCAAAACGTTTGGACTGCTCCTTTCCTTTGCTCTTGCTTTTTCCAGTGCTTTTGCCAGTGGCTGATGCACTGCAGGCTGCGTCACCCGCCAAGTGCCCCATATGGCACCACAGGCGGAACGTGCACTGGTCCGCTTCTGCTCCTCGATGGATCGACGGCCAGAGAATTTCCTGCCCAAAACCGTCGACTGCAGTTTGTTGGACGTCACACTAAGGACGTTGGCAAGATTCTCCAGTGAATCGTCGAGGCCGTCTGGCTCGCCATCTTCCGGTTCTTGTTGATCATCCTCTAGCTTCACCAGCCTGGTCTTCGAGTGGCTCGAAGAATTCCTCATGGGCTTCCTCCTCCGGGATGTCGTGCAGCGTCTCTGAACAAGGCTCATCTGCTGGGTCCACCTGTTCAGTCTGAAACACACGACGTGGTCCTCCCTTGCCCTTGCTCCTGTTGTATGCTGATGCTGATGACGGAACCGTTGTTGACGATGATGAACTGACCGTCGACTTGCCGCTACCTTTGGAATAGTGGCTGTGAGGACTGTTGTTCTGTCTCCAACCACCTGACTGAAACACTGCTGGCGTGGGCCGAAAGTCCGGAAACTGCAACTGCAAGCTTTCAACAATGCTGTCGAAGTCAAGGTTGCACTGAGCGCCAATCAACACAAGCCTCTGCAATGATGGGTCCAACTTACAACGCTCTAAGATGCGGTTTCCCCTCGACTCCGCATCGTACATTGCAGCTGAACTAATGCCAACGCTTTGCAAGTCCCTTTCAACATGCCCTTGCTGTGCAATGTTCTCATAGTTCGACAGCAGCATTCTCTTCTGATACAGCAGTTTCTGCTCCAACGGGCCCTTCACACAGGAAAGGATGTAAGCCACGCCATCCTTTGCATTGATCTTCTCGAGGTCCATGTGTTCAGCTTCAGCTTCGGGCTCTCCACCCAAAGCTGGAGAAAAGCATCAAACCTGCTTCAGCTCCAGTCAAATAATGTTGCACTTGCATCTGCCAAACTTGAACTCTTCGTTCATACTGAGAAGGCGTTGCTCTTATATAAGTATACTTATCGTACTTATACTTATAAGTATGATAACTATGTTAAGTCTACTTAGACCTAAGTAGTACAAGCGCGACCTAAGTCTGACCTACCTGGTAGAACCAAGGTTTTTCGAAGAACCGGTCATGTATCGCAAAACTCAACAAAACGCAGGAAGGACATGGCGCGCAGAGGGGGGCACACACTGCTCTATACCCGCGGAACCGGAAAATGCTGCAGCGGTGCGCTTTCACTCCTAAACAAAAAAACAAACCCTTGCCGCCAGGTGCGAGACAAACGCGAGACAAGGCGAGACAACACGCGACTATCCCGCCAGAGACGTTTTGCGGCTGCCGGATGATTACGCTCATTGGCGCGAGACAAACGCGAGATATGCGAGACAATGCCGTGTCTTTGCCCCGCCCTCCGGCGCGAGACAAATGCGAGACATGCGTCTGATGTCCCCAATCGCCTATAGCGGACCCAACGGCCCCATCGCAGGAAGTCTGCCAATAGTGCGTAGTCTTGTAAGCCCGCCCTCTCCGCCATCCTCAACTTTTTGAGCCGAAAAAATCCTGCGGGCGCGCGGATGTCTTCTAAAAACAAAGCGTTCTTAACTAGATTCTAAGTACGCTAAGTCCGTTCTGTCTACTTAACGTCCTACTTGTAGACATACTTACATTTTACTTATAAGTGCAATGCATGTACTCTAACTCCAGAACAAGTCTGTTTTAAGTGCGATAACTTTTTTATGTACTTATCATACTTACGTCCATACTTATCATACTTTAACTATACATTATCTATACATATCCTCGTTATCAAATAGGAAGTTTAGTGTGCAAAACTTCCGTGTTACGGACATTCAACAGCCGTTCAACCACCACTCATCATACACCACTCATCAAACACCACTCATCATACACCACTCATCATACACCACTCATCATACACCACT